CACAACACTTAAGTAATCTGATGCAACATATTTAGAGTGTTGCAAAATGTGTGTTTTGTTGTAGTGGCCTAGCGCCTAGGCGGCCGACTAGGCCGATTTTTCGGCCGACTAGGCCGATTTTTTGGCCGACTAGGCCGGCTAGACCTCTACGATTAGGGCCACCTAGGCCGATTAATCGGACCGTCTAGGCCGATTTTTAGAACAATGCCTCCAACTAACAGGTAAAAAAGGGTTTGATTGCATCGTTTTCAATAAGTTGAGGGGTGTATATGCAATTCTTCAAGTTCAGGGGCCCGATTGCAAAATCGCAAATAGTTGGAGAGCTTATTTGACTCTTTTCTCAAGTATTTGTCACAAATTGGAAAACTATAAAACAATAAAACACTATTTAAGAATTTGGGCTACTTCTCATATCAGGTTGATCTTTTAGGATGGAATCTTGAGTCTTAACGTGGTATCAGAGCAAATCCTGGTTGTGGTTTGACTGCTTGTTTCGCACTCATGATTACAGGTAGCTTGTTAAGGGTATGTTTGGCCTATTTATACACCCCGATATTGTACAGTAAAATTTAGGCTACTCCTATTATGCTAACCTTTTAGAGAGACACCAGAACCACATGTTTAATTAGTGTCCTTTTCGACTACACCTCACAAAAAAATGTTGACTAGAAAATGATGAAAATATTTTGGAACTTTTTAAATGTATTGATTAACCTTCCAATCTGTATATCAATATTGCCATTTTTCTTATAAATCAACAAATTAAAAGAATGTTAAATATTCGATTTTTCTTTTGCTTGTACTACGTACATCATTAAATCCCTTCCACAAATACTATAATTTGCAAATTAGTTTCAGAAGTAGAAACAATTTTAGCTTTTCAAATTAGCAAAGGTACCTTAGAATGTTCCTACAAATTATAAAGAATAATACTTCATCAAAGTTATGTTTGTGATTACCTATCAACCTTAGCCTTGAATTAGTTGTCCCAGAAACTTTTTAGATTGGGTGTGCCTTCCTTCTTTTTGTACCTAGCGTCAACAAAATATGATTGATTCAAATTAGTACATATTCAACCTATCTAATTAATTGTGTAAACATAAACCGTAATTATTTTCTATTTTTCTAACTTCTAAATAACCTCGTCGCAATATAACTTAGCAGAGAATATGCATTTCAATAGTGAACTTGATTTTCGGAACGTGACTGTTTTATTGTAATCTCGAGGGAATTCTTCACCAACCAATAATGAGCTTTGTTTTGTTGTGCTGTAGCCGACTATTAGAACGGAATGTCTTACAGGTTTCTCCGTAGCATTTATGGCCCCATGAGCTCCCCCAAGGATTCTTCACCAACCAGTAGTGAGTTCCCTGTTTTGTTTTGTCATAACCGACTATTAGAACAACATGCCTTACAGGTTTCCCCATAGCCTTTTATGGCCACATGAGCTCTCCAAGGAATTCTTCACCAACCAATAGCCATAGCCGACTACTAGAATGACATGCCTTACAAGTTCTCCGTAGTAGGGGGCAACTGCTATCTCTATTTCCCTTTTTCCTTTTTTGGGGCCTACTTTTTCTCGGGCGACTGATATCCTTCGTACATCACGCTCTATGAAATAGCAACAAAAAGTTAATATTCTGTGGTTTGTAGGTTAAGATATGAGATTGCATCCTAAAAGATAAATCTGATAGGAGTAGCTCAGATTTAATATAGTGTTTAATTCTTTTAGAGATATTCAATGTGAGACGTTTAACATTCCCCCTCACAATAACTTGATCGTGTCGTCATTCATTTTTTTATCAGTTCATCATTGTCATTTTTTATAATCGTGCCATCATTTTTCATAAGGGGGCCCACAACATGAATCGGTTTGTCTCTAATACCATGTGATAATATATACACTTAGTGTTTTAGAGCTACTAACCTACGTAAGTTACATGCAAAAAGAATCTGACCCTTACACGTAAGCGAGGTACATGTCATGGTATCAGAGCAGCTAAGATCCACAACCATTTTTTTTCTTATATATATATTGATTTAATGATATTCTTTTTATATTTTCACATGTGTTGCACTATTTGATTATTTGTGGATTTAAATACAAAAATGTCAATCTCTTGAATCTTTTCTAGTATTTAGTATGCACTTTCTTGTATTTTTATCAACATTTCATGTGAATTGGCCGGTGTGATGATATATACTAATTGCAAGATTTGTCCAAATGTTTCGGCATGTGTTTGACATTGTACCGAACTGTTTCGTACCGTTCCGAAACGACATAGTATTGAATGGTTCCATCCTTAAAACCGTACCGAATCGAACCGTTAGAAACCTCACTGGTACATTACGGAGTTTGCTAACTTACCAGACTGTTCCGAACTGCACCCATCCTTACTTCCAGCATTTCAGCAAGATAAGAGTACAAGACATCAAGCGTCATCTTCTGTGCAGGTGCGCAACAAGTCAACAGTGCCATTATGCCAACGACAAATGAGGAGGAGTGACGCCGTTCTGCCCACCTGGCTGCCTTGCGGCCTAATTGCCGGAGTCCTGGTCACCCGGAGACTTTCACTTCATATTTTGCGTAAGTTCTTAATTTTATTGTGTATATGTGTAGTTTATTTATTATTATTATTTCCATTTCTGAAAGTGAAAAAATATATATAGTACTCCCTCCGTCCTTCTAAGTTTGTCCCATTTTACCTTTTTCGTCTGTCCCACTAAGTTTGTCTCATACCATATTTGGTAGCATTTGAGTGACCAGAATGCATTCTTACTTTATTTACACTTATTCAATTCAATACCAATCACACAATTCCACTTTTTCTTAAAAACCACACCACACTCCTCCGTCCCAAACTTAGGGGGACGGAGGGAGTAATTATTAGTGATTGTATTGTGTTTAAAATTTCAGCTTTGAACACAACTTTAATCACTAATAGTTCCTCACATTTTTATCATGACATTTTTCATTAGTAATATTTAAGAAAAAATCCTTGATTTCATGTACAAGTTTACTATGAAGTTTATTCATTATTAATTAAATTTTATAAATTATTGAATTTTTTGTACAAGTCTATTGTGGAGTTTATTTATTATTCTTATTGATTAAATTGCTAATTGTATCGTAATTGTGGGTTTGTTGATTTAGTTTCTCACAATGCTATTGTGGAGTTTACAATTATACTCATATCACTATAATTGATAATTCTACTCTTTAATTTCTAGGCTATTTGAAAAGATTTTATACACGGATTCCTTACGGCAGCAAAGGGCTGAGCATTGGGTGTTCTTCATATTACCACCTCTTTATTGTTCTCCAATGTTTTTTTTGGACTGTTTTCAATCCCAGAACAGACCAGATCAGACCAGACCAGACCATACCAGACTTGACTTCCGTAGTTATAAAATACACATAGACCAGTCGTTTACCAGACCAGACCAGTTTAGACCAGATCAGACCAGACCAGACCAGCAAATTTCAGTCCAAAAGAAAACATCCTTAATTTATCAGTTGCTAATCAAAATTAAATTATTCTTTAGCTTATACTCCGTACATTGTTATGTTTAAATTTCAGTTTTTCGTTTATTAAACTACAGTAGGGCTAAGGGGCAATAAGGCCACTAAGGTATATCTCAAGGAGCAAATAAGACACCAAACTAATTTTTGGGACAAAAAACACACTTTTTATGGTTTTACTATCATTTAAACCACTCATTAATGGTTTCTAACGGAAATTGAGATTTCCGGACAACGTACTCCGTTAGTCTTATCAAAATGGGACTGAAATTTAAATACGGAGTATAAAAATGGGAGGATCAAAGTCAACAAACTTAAAAAGAATACCACTCCACTTATCTTCTTTCCCATTCACCATTCTTTTCAAACATTGAAATTGGGAGCTCAAAGAGATGATCGATCAATTGAGCCACGGCCAAAAACATAGGAACCAGAGCTCAATATTCAAGATGCAGCACTCACCGTTAGATACTTCAACTTTTGCAACTTTTGGCTTTAAAAAAGCACTTATTTTCCTAAACACTTCAACTTTTATTTTTCTCGGCTTCCGCGTCAAAAGTGTTTTTTTTTTCTATTACACAAAAAGCACTTATTTTACCAAACACTACCCACTTTTACTTTTCAAAATCACTTTTTTCTCAAACACTATCAACTTTTATTTAATCACTTCTCTCCATTTCATTAAAAAAAGCACTTTTTTCCTAAGATGATCCCAGTCCATTTTGACAATCTGCCAATCAAAAGGCAACAATATGCTTTATTTTTTCTTAGCTCCAATGGCGGCAGATTTGTTCAGCTCTTTATAATAAACCATCCTAACACTATCATCATCATGCACATGCAAAACATAAACCATCATCCAACCCCTTTCCTGGTTCCAAAATGAATATCTTTTTGCAAGTGTTGAACTTCAAATCTAACTTGTATATTCTTTCTACTGGTGCATAAGATATGTAACCACAATCGGTATTGAAAATAGTATAAACATCTTCATTTATATACTCTATCTTTCCAGTTCTTTCATATTTATCCCACATGCCACCATAATTAAACTTCACCATAATATTCATCAAGTTGCTGGAGATCGTCATTCAAAAAAAAAAAAAAACTGCTGGAGATTGAAAAACTCTTAAGCACAACCAAAACAATAAAATTTCAAACTCAGATTACCTTTACTAGTAGTATATCGGTATATCGTTTATACAATTAGTCTCCTTCGTCTGGATCTCTCTTTCATTGTAAAACAATTAAGTGTTTTAGGGTTTGTAGGGAGTGACTTAATAAATTCGAATAGGCTGAGGTTATTACAACTTTCTAATTTTTTATTTTAGACCCCAAGTTTAATAAAATTGACGGGAAGAATTGCTGAGGTTTGGATTCCGTTAAGTGGTGTTAGGGAGTGACTTAATTGATAAAATAACAATCAAAAGTGTGTTTTTTGCCCCATAAATTAGCTTAGTGTCTTATTGATGATATACGGACTATTAATGTGCTCCTTCAAGGCATCTGAACTGACGAAGTGAGGAGTAGCTGGAAGATGGCTCAAATTGTACACCGTATATACGATAGTACTATATAGACTGATCCGCAATACGGCAACAACAAAAAAAATACTGACAATTTTTTTTTTTCGCAATACGGCAACAAGTATTACTGAAGCAGACAAATTTTGAAAAGCAAACTTCCAAACGCATGATCAGGCCAATACTGACTAGACCATGGCTACATTCTCTCACGCCTCCCAAATATATCTTCTCTCCAGAAGTTCTGGACCGTCGCTTCTCATCCGTCCAACTGACCAAGGAATTAGGCATGAACTTGGCAATGCAGCAAGACCCGGAGTTCGATTATCGTGCATATGCAAACATGCTTCAAGAATGCATCACAAACTGTCAGTTTGCATTGGGAAAGTCTCTTCATTGCGATATTTTAAAGAGAGGTGGCAGTTTAGACCTTTACGGGTGGAACATTTTGTTGAACTTCTACGCCAAGTCTGACTTTATGCCTTGTGCTCACCAGCTGTTTGATGAAATGGAGGATAGAAATATGGTTTCATTTGTTACTTTGATTCAGGGTTATATGCGACTGGAGCATTACACTGAGGCTAGTGAATTGTTTGTTAGATTGCATAGAGAAGGTCACGAGCTTAACCCATTTGTCTTCACCACGATTTTGAAGGTGCTGGTGAATATGGAGTGGACAGAGATGGCTCGGAGCGTCCACTCATGTATTTATAAGCTAGGTTATGACTCAAACCCCTTTGTTAGCACGGCTCTTATGGATGCTTACTCTATATGTGGCCTTATTAAAGCTGCTAGAGAAATATTTAATGGAATTCTTGGTAAGGATTTGGTTGCATGGACTGGAATGGTTTCTTGCTATGCTGAAAATGGTTATTTTGAAGAAGCACTTGACTTGTTCTGTAAGATGAGAACGGCCGGATGGAGACCAAACAACTTTACCTTTGCTAGTGTCATGAAAGCTTGTCTTGGGTTAGAGGCATTTACGGTAGGGAAGAGTGTCCACAGTTTTGCTTTGAAGACTAATTATTTGGTGGATCCTTTTGTTGGTATTTCCCTGCTTGACTTGTACACACAGGCTAGAGATATCAAGGATGCTAGATACATGTTTGAGGAGATACCAAAATATGATGTAATTCCTTGGAGTTTCATGATAGCACGATACTCTCAGAGTGACCAGTGTGATGAGGCTTTGGACTTGTTTCGTCAAATGAGGGGAACATCTGTTGTTCCAAACCATTTCACTTTTACTAGCGTACTGCAAGCATGCGCAACAATGAGCGAGATGGACCTCGGGATGCAAATCCATTGCCATGTAAAAAAAGTTGGTCTTGATTCAAATGTTTTTGTATCAAATGCCCTCATGGATGTATATGCTAAATGTGGAATGCTGGAAAACACAGTTCAGTTATTTATTACGGGCTCAGCAGACAAGAATGATGTATCTTGGAATACCATTATCGTTGGCCATGTGCAAATGGGCGATCATGAGAAAGCAATGTCTCTGTTCATGAATATGCTCGAACTCCAAGTGCAAGCTACTGAAATCACATACTCTTCCATTCTGTGTGCTTGTGCCCGGCTAGCTGCACTAGAACCAGGCATGCAAGTACATGCACTGACTGAAAAAACCGTTTACATCCAACATGGTGCTGTTGGAAATGCCTTGATCGATATGTATGCAAAGTGCGGGAATGTTAGGGATGCTCGTCTTGTCTTTGATACTTTGAATGTGCGAGACTTAGTCTCATGGAATGTTATGGTCTCTGCATATTCCATGCATGGTTTAGGTAGTGAGGCCCTGAAAATATTTGAGACGATGCGAAGCATGGATATCAAACCTAATCCCTTAACTTTTGTTGGTGTTCTTTCAGCATGCAGTAACACTGGTTCATTGGATCTAGGAGAAATGTACTTCTCCTCAATGCGAGAGCATTATGGTATTGAACCTAGTGTAGAGCATTATACTTGCATGGTATCACTTTTAGGGCGATTAGGTCATCTTGACAGGGCAGTCAAAATGATCGAGGAGATTCCATTTGAGCCCAGCATTATGATATGGCGTGCTCTGCTTGGGGCATGTGTTCTCCATAATAACGTCGAACTTGGGAGAACTGCTGCAGAACGTGTTCTTGAGATGGACCCACTAGATAATTCAACCTATGTGTTATTGTCTAACATTTACGCCACTGCAAAGAAGTGGGGTAATGTCTCATTTGTCAGGAAAAGCATGAAGAAGAAACATATAAAGAAGGAACCAGGACTAAGTTGGGTTGAAAACCAGGGAATGGTTCATTATTTCTCTGTTGGAGATGTTTCACATCCTGATATTAAACTAATTCATGCAATGCTGGAGTGGTTCAATTTGAAATGTAAGGCTGATGGATACGTTCCGAATCTTGATTCTGTTTTACTTGCTGTTGAGGATGATGAAAAGGCACAGCTTTTATGGGTACATAGTGAAAGGCTTGCTTTAGCTTTCGCTCTGATTAGAACTCCGCAAAGTAGCCCAATTCGTATCATTAAAAACCTCAAAATATGCATGGACTGCCATGCAGCAATCAAAATTATTTCAGCCCTTGTGCACAGAGAAATTATTATTAGAGATATAAACAGATATCATCACTTCCAGGATGGGATTTGTTCTTGTGGTGATTATTGGTGATACAGACTGCTTTTGGCTTTTTAGCAGTCACTGGATGCCTTATTAATCCATTGTATAATTGAAGCCTGTGAGTTCAGCTTGAATCTAGGATTCCAGATCTGGCTATGTGCTGAAAGTGGTAGTGCATGAATGCTTTCATAAGGCGCTATGAAAACATTGGTCAAAATCTGGACGATCACCTGAGTGGACTGCTGTTCATATAAGCAAAATGTTGTGAAAGTATGAGGTAAATCAACTGAGCCCTTAATCTATTATTTTTATTTCATGTTAGAAGTGCAAATTTAAAAAACAAACATGGAAATAAAATCCTTTCTTTTATTCTGTCCTCAAGTGTTGAAATTGTTGTTGTCATCAGTATCATCATTGCTCTCTTCATTTTACGGAGTATTTCATTTCATTTGTCTTACGCGTGCAATTAGACAATACTGAAACATCTTGCGTTCTTTTGTATTTAATAATAAATAAAATTATTACATATTGAAACTAAATGAGAAGATATACTAAACATAAACCAAATTGAATAATTATAAAAAAGTGTTTGTGAAAGAAAGTAAGCAAAGAAGAATTGATTTGACCAAAGAATAATAATAACTACTCCCTCCATCTCGTATTTAAGTTCCTAGTTTGACTTCAAACATATTAAGAAGATAAATATACGGAAGGGTAAATTTTTACTGTAGAGTACACCGTTTGGCACTGTTTTGGAGCAGATTTGTTTGCCAAATAAGGAAGTATGAACTTGTTTGGGACATCCATAAAAGGAAAGTGGGAATTTAAATACGGGACAGAGGAAGTATAAGACATGTAAAATCGGACCAAGGAAGTATATATCATCATCACTATGTTTTGAGGCACCTTTGAGCTTTTATAAGTGGAGGATTTGTCAAGATCATTCTAAAGAACCTGTACTTGACAGTATGGCAGTCCAGTGGCGCCGCGCCGTGAAACCTCACCATAACAACACTGCTTTTCCTATCCAGCAAACTTGCATGTTACATTTTATCGATTGTACAACTGTACGCTGAGCTGTTAGGAGGCTTACTTTGACACTGCTTGGACAATGATAGAGTTGCATTTTTCCTTTCAAGCTTTTTACACAAACATTCACTCAGAACTAACCTGATAGGTCTTCAGAGCCTCTCCACCTTCGCCTTCTTCACTGGGAGAGGATATGATAGAAAGAACAAGGACCCTTTCGTAGGAAATTTCTGTTCATTGAGCCTTTCTGTCCTCAAAAATCTGTTTTGGGCTTGCAATTTTCACAGCAATTCTTATGTTATGTTGCTAATCATATTAGGATGACACGGTCACCACAAAAACCATTCCTAATGATTTTTCTCCTTTCTTTCAACCCCTCTCTATCCCTAGCTGCACCAAGCTTATCTCAACCATTTCTTGCTGCTGATCATCAACCACTGACTAGACAAACCGCAGCTTCATTGATACCTCACTTTTCAATTTTGCTTGGTAAAAAGTTTCAGACATTATATTATCTTGGTAAATTAAACTTTGTACTTCTGTTATTTCAATCCTAGAAGTTTTGTTTTTTGGGGTTGCACAAATCCATCAACTGTACAATTTTGTTATGCTGCACCAAGTACAGAGTCTGTGCAGTGTGTACTGTTATGGTTTGTTTGCTTTCTTTTATTTCATGAATTTTCAAGTTTGAACTTGTTAATATTTTAAGTGTCTGATGTTGAAATTAGTATTGTTTTCCCCATCATTTGTAATGGAGCCAAAGACTCACTATTTTTTGGATTGAGAATATGATGGAATAAAGCAAAATGACTCACTAAACTATCTGCGCTTCTTTGTTATGAAGAAACAGTCAGTCCATGCAATTTGGACGTGATTTTCATCATTGGTCGTTTGGAACAATCTCTTTGTACTTTAGTACATTGGTAAGGCTGCGTACATTCGATCCACCTTACCCCACCACAGGTGTGAGACTTTGCGGCACTGAGGTAATGTTGTTGTTTGTTGTTGCATATTTACATGCATGCATGTACGCATACATTTATGTTTACATGTATGCATAGCGTTATAAGTTATAAGATCTTTTTTATGTTTACATGGATGCATGCGTTCTTTGGGTCATCCGGAAACAGTCTCTCTGTACTTTAGTATAGGGGTAAGGCTGCGTACATACGACCTCCCTTACCCCACCGTAGGTGGGAGCCTTTGCGGCCACTGAGGTAATGATGATGATGATGGATGCATGTGTTATAACATCTTTTTATGTTTACATATATGCATCATTTTACTGCAAAATAAAACCTATCATTTGGATACTTCAGAGCAGCTTTACTTTGTTTTGCCAGAGTCCAGCTCGTTAATTGGTGGTTTGGTATATATCGTACACATATTTATTTCTATTGATGTATACTGCGTTCTCTACTATCTTTAAAGTTTATACTTACATTTCGACATGGTTCTCATTATTTTTTTTTTATGTATTGAGATGTTATCTAGCTTTTATTGTTTTATCTATAAATACATGCCACCCTGTTATTGAAGACTCATTCTTGCTTCATCTCTGACATCAAATGAGAAGCCTAAGTTAGGGATGTTTTTTATTTTGCTGACATCTTTCACCAATCTTGTTTTTTTGTGCCGTGTTATTCTTTCAATTTTTTGTTACCATTTTGGTGGAAATTTTCATAATAGACAAGTTTTTTTTTCTTCCAGAATTTTCAGGGTCACTGTGTGAAATGGGTGATTGTCTTATTGAAAAGACGTCATTGAGTGATGGCGAAGAAACTGGTAATAAGTCCTATTATGATAATAATTTTGGATGTCATACAGATGTGTTGAATTTTGTTCACCACGTCCACATTTAGGAATGAGATCTAATAGTCAGTCTTCTTGTAATTGAATAAATAGTTTCTCAATTAAAGTGCTCATATAAAGCGGCAATAAGTGCTTGTGGGGATTAAGCTGGGTAGTTGGGGATTTTCACAACATTGGATTACATGCACACTTCATTTATTTATAATTTTCTCAAGGCTGAATTATTTATTTTACTTTCTAGGTAAAGCGTTACTCAAGCTTGGCAAAGTCCAGTTTCAGCTCCAGAAACTTGTAGATAGTTATGTGAGTAGTCCTTGTATAAATTATTTTAGATTTCTCTAATTTTTTATTTTCCCTTGTAATGCAATAGTGCTTTTCTGTTTTCAGCGTTCACATATTAACCAGAAAATATCAGTCCCATCTGAGTCCCTCCTCAGTCCTCTCTGAACTACACATTGTTGAGGTTTGTCTGTGTAAACCTCATTTTATATAACATAATGAGCTGTCAAAATGTATCATCTCTAGTTTCCTAATTTAATTCCTTTTTTTTGCTTGTTTGTTTGTTTGTTTGTTTGTTTGTTGACCGGCAAATGCTGCAGCCTATTCAATATTTTAATAAAGTCTATAAAAGAAGAATAAAGTCTGTTATTAACTAACTAGTTAGTTAGTTCGGTTTATCCCTGCGTGGATGATTAGCTATAAATAGAAGGTGAGTTAGCTAAATAAGGCAGGCTGTTATTTCAGTTGGCTATAGATTTGGAGAGTGAGCTTCTTGAACTGTCCCCTGTGTTCTGTACACCTACATTGATTCTTCTCTAATGCAATAAACTCTATTTCGATCTGTTCTTACCTAGATTGATCTAGAATTGCATTTGTTTCACTTAGATTCTACCAGTGTTCTATCATTTGTTTGTTTGGTTTTTATGCTTTGAAAATATCTTCAGCAGTCTATGTTTTTTGCAGGACATGAAGAGACAGTGTGACGAAAAAAGGTAACAAACTAGAGAAATTAATTCTTATGTGTGAGATTATAATCTATTTATATTTATTCTTAATCTTGCTTATGAATTACCAGAGGAATCTATGATCAATTGATCCAAAAGCATACAGAAGGGGGGGGGGGGGGGTAGGGAAGCTGAGAGGAGCCAGCAGTGGGGAGCACTTTTCTTCTCAGCAACTGAAAGCAGCTTATGATGAATATGCTGAGGGAGCAAATGTTTTTGTATTTCGAATGAAGTCTCTCCGTAAAGGACAATCCTGCAGTCTTTTTACACAAGCTGCTCGGCACCATGCTGCTCAGGTTCCTTTTTATGTTACACTAAGGATTGTTTACCCCTTTCGGTTTTCAACATCATGGAAAAATACATGTATGGCCCCACAGCATGTTTCTCTTTTAAATTGATTGGATGAGAATTACAATGCACAATCTATGACGTACCAAGCAGATTTCACTCTTCCGGAAGGCTCTGAAATGTCTTGAGGAGGTTGAGCCACATGTCAAGTGGGTCACTGAGCAGCAACATATTGATTACCACTTTGGTGGGCTTGAAGATGATATCAAGGATGATGACGCAGTAAATGATGGTGATGATGATGTTGATGACTATGAATCTAATGGGCAATCTGAATCACATGATGGGGAATTGAGTTTTGATCGCGTTCAAGGTGAACTTGAATATGTAGCCACCAACCCTATGGAGGTAAGACTTCAATCATGGTTTTTACTGCTATGGAACATCCTCAACATTTATTAGTACTTTGAACTTGGAAGACAATGAACATGGCCAAACAGTTATGGTGGCTGGTGTCAAGGGGGCTGGTTGTACCATGAATTGTGGAAAAGGGCTATAGTTTACAAATAAAAGATGTGATTAAATCTGCTATCTGGATGAAGCTCAATATGATATGATGTTCCATTTATTTGCTGATGTCAGGTTCAGGATGAGCTTCGTTTCCGTATGAGATGCTGAATTTTGTTTCTTTATCGCTTGTTTGGTTGGGAAGTTTGAGGAGGATGGAATGTGAAGGGTGATTTTTTAATTAATGTAGTCATAGATACATTAAGAAGGAAAATCACCCCCCCCCCCCCAAATCACCCAACCAAAAAAGGGCTTAAGTTGTACTCTGGTGTGTTTGGGGGAAGAACAATGTTGAATACTACAAATAAGCCTCTATATTATTGTTAAATAAGATGTATTTTGCATTTCTAACTTTCTTATAGATTCCATTTAGGAATACGGAGAATAGCAACATTTAGGACTTCTTGAGACTTGCACAGTTTCATTGTACTATAGAAATCATGGAATGGACTTATGTTTCAAAATTTGGGGAACAAACTACATTAGTACAGTGTCAAATGGTTGAATGATTGCTGAACGGTAAAATTTTATTTGTGTGTTTTTTGCAGTTGGATAACACGGATGTTACATTTCCTCATGTTCCGAGGTCTGATTTAGCAAAGGTAAATAAATTTATGATCTTTACATACGCTAATTGTAGCCTCATGCAGTCATGCTCTTTCTTTATGCTTGAATAGATTTGTTGGTTTGTTTAATTTCATACAAGTAAAATTTGTATCTTGGGGGTGGAATATGTATGTGTAATTAGAATTTGAGGTTAAGGATAATGCTTAATGTTGTTAATAGTAAAATGTGCATTAAGCGTGAACGAATAGAATTCTTGCTCCTTCTGGCTCCCATATCTTATGAGACTGACTTTTCCATATTAGCTTTATTAGCTGAATGGGGCTGATGACTGAAAAAAGTGTTGAAGTTTGTTTTAAATGGATTAGTTGAAATAATATAAATGACACTCCTGCCCTCACCGCACAGTTATTATTTTATTTAGGTTATTTAATAAATTCATTTCTTAGACAAATATTTATTTTAGTTACAACAAACTCAGTCAATTGAGCCATTTCAACATTTTTTTATCCCAAGCTGGCGCTTCATGTCGAAATGGCACCATCACCATAGTTGAGGACTAGAACTAGAGAGAATGTGTCTTCACACTCCATATTTCATCTTTGTAGGACAAAGTTTCTCAAAATAAAATGTTGTCTCATACGAAATAAATCAATATTTAATTGATGCCGCCTTTTGACCCCAGTAAGGCTGCGTACATCTGATCCCCTTTATAGCTAATATTCTGTGTTTGATGTTATATGACTGAAACTAGTGTTGTTCATATGCAGAAAAGTAGCTTCTTTATGCCAAAGGGAGGTAATTTTGGATTTTTTTGCTAATTAGATGGTCTATTGTTGTGTGTGTTGTGTAGGTGCCTAGGTGGTCTATTCTTGGCTCATAAGCAACAGCATTTGGATCAGAATTGACTTTGCAGTCGACTTGCCAAAATGAAAAGGGACTAAAACCATCAGTCACATTAAAATCATCATTTTCTGGTTTGTATTCAACTTTCTTATGATTGTAAGCACTAAGCTATTGTAGGCTGCAATAAAAGAAGCAAAGTCAAAAGAGGGGGTAGATGCGGAGCTTGCAACCCTCCATTCTGGTGTAATGGTAAAGTGCTTGCAATGCAGGGCTGCATACAAGTGTTGCAGTTTCTTTTGCATTCTTCGGCCTCACGTTTTGACTCATGGTGCTTTATATGCTATAGAATGGAAAAAAAGAAGCGGATTCTGTTGGTGATAAACTTCAAGGGGCTCAATCTGAAGTTAAATCGCTGTGGTCCTTGACACAAAGAATGGCCCTAACCCAGAACGAAATGATTTGTTATTGTGCTTTTTTGGAGATTAGCTGGCTATTTGTAGTGCGACATGCTGCGAGATTTAACTTGAAATAGTAGCTTATTCATATTCCAGGAAGAAGTTGTTCTCAAAAGATGCTGGCTTGCTCGCTATTGGGGTTTAGCTGCTCAGTATGGCCAGTTTTTGCCTTTTGCATATTTTGTACTGTAATTTGGTATGATGCGCATGTTGATTTTCAATATCGATATCAATTTTATAATGTAAAAACACTATAGTAATTATCTAAACATATCACCGTCTCGTGATATCTTACATGCAAGTCTATGAAGAAGAACTTACTGTGGTTGAGTGCTGCTAGCTTATGTGGTTGATCATTGAGTGTTTCTCTCATAGCTGAGACGTTGCGTGAGTAGAGCAGAGCATAGGAGAGTAGTAGTGACACTTATCAAAGGAAAGCTGAGTATATCATTTTACAGTCTTTCAGGAGTTCTTGTTTCAGGGTTTAATTTTGTGCCGGACTTGGATCTTGAAGTTGATTTGAAGTTAAGATTGGATTTAAGTTGATTTTTACTTGTATAAGGTGTGGTTTTATGTTTAGGTGTGCGTGGAACTTGATTTTGATAGCTAAAGTATGAAAACTGAAGGATAATCCGACAAAATTGGAATTGAAGGATAGGAAACCTGGATATAGGGGTGGACTCGGGCCGGGTGGCCCGAACCGGAACCGGCCCGGCCCGGCTACTGTGTGAACCGGCCCGGCCCGGTGGCCCGGTCCACCGGCGGTTCGGGTCGAACCGGCCCGGTGGATACCGGTTCCGGGCCCGGGCCCTCCATTTGGTGAACCGGCCGGTTCGGGCCCGGTCCGGGCCGGATTTTAATTTTTTTTTTTTTTTTGAAATTTTTTTAAGTTTTGGGTTGGATTAGGTATTTTGGGCCATTTGAGGTGGTTTGGGGTGGTTTGGGGTTGAGGGGGAGGGGGTTAAAAAGGAGAACCAAAAAAAAAAAAAAAATAATAGACCGGTTGGCCCGGCCCGGCCCGGCCCGGTTTGGCCCGGAACCGGAACCGGAACCGCCCACCGGCGGTTCGGGCCCGGGCCCTAGTTTTCTGGCCCGAGGCCCGGCCGGGCCCAGGCCCGAACCGGGCCCGAACCGGCCCGAGTCCACCCCTGCCTGGATAATGATTAGTGATTGGTATATATACTGCGTGTTCCCTCTGCTTGTTGGCTAGATATAATTGGCCAAAGATGAGGGATAGCCCGGTGCACATTGGCATTCTCACAACACGATAACCAGTCCGCCAATGCGCTTCTTCAAGAACACAAAAATGATAGAATTATAAGAAAATCAATTATTTTTTCAAATGTCAAACTGTGTTTTCGAACAATAGTTTTTGAATTTCTTTTATTTTAAAAATAGATCATCCTACATCTCTGTAAAGCAAGCAATATGGGAAGCAGTTAACAGGCATCTCACTTGTTCTTCTATTTCTTCAATCTGTATGTAATTCTGCTGCTAATACTGTTGCTAATCAACTAAGTGGTAAAATACTCATACAAAATTGAACCTGATGGTAGGTTTATGCATGCCCTTGGTTTTGCCCTCCATTTTCTCTTCAGCCTGACAGCAAAAGGCCTCAGACATTAAGCAAACTAAGAGATATAATGATCCCTTCATGGGAAAGGAGATGGATACAGGGGATAGTTGTTGTGCCGAAATTAGTTATTTATTTAATGGAGCTATTTTTACTTAGGTTAACACTTAAGACAAAATGTTCTCTTTAGCCAAAGACAGCTGCCAGCTGAATGTGTGAATATTCTATGCTTCCTTTAGTTTTGTAGTTTTCCTTTAAGCATTTCATAGCCATTTGTATTTTTGTATGGCATAGATGGCCTAGGTGCTGCCAGATTGTTCATCTATCCTCTGTCTTTCAAAACATTTAGTCTATGTATAGTCTTTATGTTGATTCAATACAAAGTCCATGTGGTTGTGTACAATAAGGAGGTTATGGTTGGATTTGTTTCAACTAGAATGGCTCAGACTTCTGAGTTTCTCTTCGTGTGGCGGACTGGCGGGTTTTCATAATCATCAAGAGGGCTTGACAGATAAGAAATTCTAATGGACATTATTTTGTGGGAATGTAGGCTTGGTAACATTGAAGTTCCATTGCATGTTATCTTCTGTGTAGTCTCTGCAGGAAAGCAAATTATGGTTCTAGCACAAACTATAGTTTTAGCTAAAAGCACTTTGATATAATCTCTGAGCGCTTCTCAATGTATTGCAAGCTTGGACTTCTAAGCCAGTTTCAGGTGCTCATCAGCCCACTCTAATGACAATAAATCTCTTTCTACAGTAAAAGTTCAACTATTTTCCACCCCATTTTCTTTGTTTGGTTGAAGGCGGTTTGCTATCAATATCCTGAAGTGGTCATTTGTCACCCCCAAAGACCAAAGTAAACAATTGCTTTTAGTTATTTGGTTATTCAAAAAGTTTAATCATTTTAACAAACTATAGCAAACTGAAATATGCCAATTGTCCCGCTTGGAAGTAGGGTTGGGAAGGGTGAGAACTGAAGCCCTAATAGGCTGCTTACTGGACTAATAATCAGCAAATTAAACAGCCAAACACTGTTGTGAGAATGTTTATGTTGGCCATATCAGAGATCCTCAGCTTACTTCAAGAGAGACTTGTAAAATAATCTAAAATAAGCCAGTTTGACCAAGTACAAAACATCTAAAATTTGACACCTATTTGACTTGGAAGTCAGTTTCATTGAAGGGAAATCTTCCCTTAGTAGGTGCTCTGATCTGCATGGTATCTGAGTAATCATCACAGGTCAGTTGTCGAATATGCTACAGATTATAAACAAAACTTTAATGAATGGAAGGGTTAAAACTTAAAAGTCCTCATCAGAAGTGTTCACCGAACGCTTTATCTAGCGCTAAGTCGCTAACTGCCTTTTGTGATACCAGTTAATTTGTCAGGGAAGGGTTAAAAATGTATTCACGTGTACTTGTTTTTTTAATTCAATTAAGCATGCAATTATATAACTAAATCTTGTTCCAGCATTGAGATATCTTGGAATATGGGGGTAATGGATGAATCCAGTTTTATAGCTGGGCAATTACCAGTCGATCTTGATTACTTTTTACTAGGGAATATGCTTCATAGGATTCAGAATGTACTAATAGGCTTTACCAATTACTCTTAAAGAATACATTATGCATATTTAGGGCCGGTGAAAAATACCAAAATTTCGGTATACCGCATTTTCCATATTACAAATTACCGGATTTACTGAAAACTTAGGTATGCCGACATTTTCGGTATGGTATGGTACCGTAGTGAATTACTTCGATATGGTATCGGTATATGTTTTGAAAATAAAAAGTATACTGGTATACTGTTATACCGGAAGTCCTATTTAAATTTTTTTTCAAATTATAAAAATGACTAAATACACAACATCATATTAGGAATAAATGATTTTATATATATTCATATTATTTGAATATAATAATTTTACTTATTTGTTTGTTTGTTGAGATCACTATTGATTTAATTATATCGTTCAAGTTATTTTTGGAGAATGTGTTATTTTTTAATACGTGACATGTTGAACTGCTTAAATATATTAATAATAATTATTGTTCAATATTGAATATGACATCAAGATTATTATTTGTATTTTATAACATTTTAATAATGTATTAAGTATGTGGCTAGTAACACCGATTTTGTATATTTCGTTAGTCTATGATAATTTGTTATATTGAGATACGTGCATGGTAATTTACTGATATTGCAATAATGTTAGTTGACCAAAACTTTGGTATACCGGAATATGATATACCGAAATTTTGATAAGGTAATGATCTAAAAATTTTGTATAGCGAAAGTTTTGGTATGACAAAGATATGCGAGAAAATATTTGGTATAACGTACCACCCCTATGCATATCAACTTCAGTATTAGTGTCAGATGAGTATGTCTATTACGTACACAAATGTTAAAAAATAATGAACTTGTTAAAGTTATTCCTAACACATTTAAAAAGTGTTAAGTATGATTAGGGTAAACAATTTTATGATACGGTGACGATGTGACATGGTACAAGAAATCCATGGTTGCACTGTCCGATCGGTACTGGAGACCCTCAAAAATGGGGTGTCATTCTTTTTGTTCCAAGTCCAAGTATTTGGATAATTAAATTAAGGCTAAAGGGTAAAATAGGTCTCTCTATTCAATTTTTAGAGTGCGAATTGAACATTCCGGAAAGGTACGGACGTATTTGACCTTTTGCCTTAAATTAATTAGAGACCCTCCAACTCTGTTTGACTTTTTTCATTTTCATAGCCCATATTTGGAGAGCTTCTTCGACCTACAAATCTACAATCCAAAGTTCAATTCTGTTTAATGGATCGGATCTTAAGCCGTCTTGGCTTCTTGGTTGATTTTTCTGTTTGTGTTGTGTTTAATGCACTTAGGATGTTCTGGTACTAAATTTGTATGGAAATAAATTCACGGCATAAATTAGATTTTGATTTGTACTACGTAAATTTTAGCCATTACTTTTTAAATTATGATTATTTGATTCCTTAGCTGTTTATATGATTTTTATTTTGTTTCTACTTTTGCATAACATTTACTTTGTGATTCTTTGAGGTATGCAATTTTTTAACCTTTTCTATATAACCTTAAACATTTTCTTTATATTTTTTTGTTTGCGACTTCGTTTTACACTGTGGATGCAATGTAAAGCTTCCGGATAGTATACACCCAAGATTGCAACATCTCCATTTAATTTTTCTTGCATTTCACCATGATAATTAAGGTTTTTTCTTCAATTCTTAGAATCGTGTCCCCTTTGGGTTATTTTCAGTTTAATTGATTATTGAAGATTACCATTTTACTTTTCCTCCATAGTTTTTTCTTTATTTAATTAGATATTTCATATTTGATTCTTTTTGTAATTCAATAAATTTAGTTAGCTAATATAACATACTATAAGTCTATAACTTCGAAAATTTAGTAATTTCGTATATAAAATGAAATCCTATCACACAGTGGTGTATCCACTATGGGGGCAGCTGCCCCCCACTCAACCCCAACCAAATCCAATTCCAATACGGAATATATCTTAAATTTCATAAGAAATTGCTCAAAATAAAAGTTAAATGTAGAAAAGAAATCTAAAATACGATTAAGAGTGTTTTCTTTCATATCAAAAGAATGAAAGCCTAAAACATTCACTACATTTTGTAATGCTTGACTTATATTTAGGTAATTTTCTCAAATTTTATCCGCAATTGCATCTTTACATACCTGTAATATAAATCATTCTTCTTTTTATTCATACTCGTACATATACTCCAAATATCTTAAACTAAATTTAATCAAACAATATTAATAATGTGATTTGCTATTTGTGAAATACTACCTCCGTCCCAAAAAGAGTTGCAAATTTGATTTTTCTTAGTCAAACAGTCTCGTTTTGTTCACTTAATTAGGATGTCTATTTTTAATTATTTTCTAATTTGGAGTTTACAACTTTGAAGATATTTTAATGTAG